CCTCTTGCTACCACAGCAGTAACTCAGCAACTCAGATGTTCCTGCACCCTCTGTTAGCATTGACTCAGCAGCTCAGCTCTCCCTGCTCCCCCTTCCTGCATACATTCAGCAGCTCAGTGCCTCTTGCTACCCATCGGAGCAGCAATTCAGCAGCCCAGATCCCCCTCTCAGCAGTGACTCAGCAGCTCAGCTCTCTCTGCTCCACCTTCCTGCAATGACTCGGCAGCTCAGTTTCCTTGCTATGCATCCAAACAGTAACTCAGCAGCTCAGCTCTCCCTTCTTTTCCTTCCACTGCTGCAATAAAGCAGCTGTTTAGCTCCCCTTGCTGCCCCTCACAGCAGCAACTCAGCTTTTCCTGCTCCCCCTCTAAGCAGTGACTCAGCAGCTCAGCTTACCCTGCTCCCTCTACTAGCTTTCACTCAGCAGCTCAGCTTTTCCTGCTCCCCCTCTAAGCAGTAACTCAGCAGTTCAGATCCTCCGTACAGCAGTAGCAGCAGTACAGCAGGAGCAGCAACAGAGTAGCTCAGATCTTCCTGCATCCCCTCCAAGCAGTGATTTATCAGCCCCCCCCTCCTTTCTCCCTCTCCTTGCACTGACACAGCAGATCGGCTCTTCCTGTCACCCCACCCAGCAGTTTCTTAGCAGCTCAGCTTCCCCTGTTCCCCCTTCCAGCATAAACTCCGCAGCTCCCTGCTCCCCCTCCCAGCAGTGATTTGGCAGCTAATGTGAACACACAACAGGTGAGCTTTCTTGCTTTAGCATTCCTGCATGGCTTGCTGTACAGCAATTCATTGACTCCATTATCTTCAGACTCAATATGAAGCTGCGTACGGTCATCAGACGACACGAGTCCCGTCCGGGCAAAGACTTCACACTCTAGAGGCGGACACGTGGAACATTGCTTCACCCGATATCTCCCGGAACACTCGGCCATAGCGGGAACCTTGAAGGAAACTTCTGAAGATTGCCCAGTAACATCTGGCACGGTGCCGGGTGCCAGGGAGGGGCCCCGGCGGCCCGGCTTCCCTCCCCACACATTAAACCCAAAACAATGAACGTCTTCAATTAGGATTGCAACTTCTATCAACTTCTTTATATACCGATGTATCCCACACACGTCCGTACTGGTCTATACACTGCTCACCTTTTCTTCAAGCAGAACCCGAACACTCTAGCACTGTGTGGGAGGTTTGGGGGTTTTTTGGGGGAGAGGGAGGAGAGACAGCCAGGAGAGGGAGGAGAGACAGCCAGTGAAGAGTGAGGAGAGACAGCCAGGAGAGAGTGAGGAGAGACAGCCAGGAGAGAGCGAGGAGAGACAGCCAGGAGAGAGCGAGGAGAGACAGCCAGGAGAGAGCGAGGAGAGACAGCCAGGAGAGAGCGAGGAGAGACAGCCAGGAGAGAGCGAGGAGAGACAGCCAGGAGAGAGCGAGGAGAGACAGCCAGGAGAGAGCGAGGAGAGACAGCCAGGAGAGAGCGAGGAGAGACAGCCAGGAGAGAGCGAGGAGAGACAGCCAGGAGAGAGCGAGGAGAGACAGCCAGGAGAGAGCGAGGAGAGACAGCCAGGAGAGAGCGAGGAGAGACAGCCAGGAGAGAGCGAGGAGAGACAGCCAGGAGAGAGCGAGGAGAGACAGCCAGGAGAGAGCGAGGAGAGACAGCCAGGAGAGAGCGAGGAGAGACAGCCAGGAGAGAGCGAGGAGAGACAGCCAGGAGAGAGCGAGGAGAGACAGCCAGGAGAGAGCGAGGAGAGACAGCCAGGAGAGAGCGAGGAGAGACAGCCAGGAGAGAGCGAGGAGAGACAGCCAGGAGAGAGCGAGGAGAGACAGCCAGGAGAGAGCGAGGAGAGACAGCCAGGAGAGAGCGAGGAGAGACAGCCAGGAGAGAGCGAGGAGAGACAGCCAGGAGAGAGCGAGGAGAGACAGCCAGGAGAGAGCGAGGAGAGACAGCCAGGAGAGAGCGAGGAGAGACAGCCAGGAGAGAGCGAGGAGAGACAGCCAGGAGAGAGCGAGGAGAGACAGCCAGGAGAGAGCGAGGAGAGACAGCCAGGAGAGAGCGAGGAGAGACAGCCAGGAGAGAGCGAGGAGAGACAGCCAGGAGAGAGCGAGGAGAGACAGCCAGGAGAGAGCGAGGAGAGACAGCCAGGAGAGAGCGAGGAGAGACAGCCAGGAGAGAGCGAGGAGAGACAGCCAGGAGAGAGCGAGGAGAGACAGCCAGGAGAGAGCGAGGAGAGACAGCCAGGAGAGAGCGAGGAGAGACAGCCAGGAGAGAGCGAGGAGAGACAGCCAGGAGAGAGCGAGGAGAGACAGCCAGGAGAGAGCGAGGAGAGACAGCCAGGAGAGAGCGAGGAGAGACAGCCAGGAGAGAGCGAGGAGAGACAGCCAGGAGAGAGCGAGGAGAGACAGCCAGGAGAGAGCGAGGAGAGACAGCCAGGAGAGAGCGAGGAGAGACAGCCAGGAGAGAGCGAGGAGAGACAGCCAGGAGAGAGCGAGGAGAGACAGCCAGGAGAGAGGGAGGGGAGACAGCCAGGAGAGAGTGAGGAGAGACAGCCAGGGGAGAGTGAGGAGAGACAGTCAGGAGGGAGTGAGGAGAGACAGTCAGGAGGGAGTGAGGAGAGACAGCCAGGAGAGAGTGAGGAGAGACAGCCAGGAGAGAGTGAGGAGAGACAGCCAGGAGAGAGTGAGGAGAGACAGTCAGGAGAGAGTGAGGAGAGACAGCCAGGAGAGGGAGGAGAGACAGTCAGGAGAGAGTGAGGAGAGAAAACCAGGAGAGGGAGGAGAGACAGCCAGGAGAGGGAGGAGAGACAGTCAGGAGAGAAAGCCAGGAGAGACAGTCAGGAGAGAGGGAGGAGAGACAGCCAGGAGAGGGAGGAGAGACAGCCAGGAGAGGAGAAACAGTCAGGAGAGGGAGGAGAGAGAGCCAAGTGAGGAGAGACAGCCAGGAGAGGGAGGAGAGACAGTCAGGAGAGGGAGGAGAGAGAGCCAAGTGAGAGAGTGAGGAGAGACAGCCAGGAGAGGGAGGAGAGACAGCCAGGGGAGAGGGAGGTGACAGTCAGGAGAGAGGGAGGAGAGACAGCCAGGAGAGGGAGGAGAGACAGCCAGGAGAGGAGAAACAGTCAGGAGAGGGAGGAGAGAGAGCCAAGTGAGGAGAGACAGCCAGGAGAGGGAGGAGAGACAGTCAGGAGAGGGAGGAGAGAGAGCCAAGTGAGAGAGTGAGGAGAGACAGCCAGGAGAGGGAGGAGAGACAGACAGGGGAGAGGGAGGAGAGACAGCCAGGGGAGAGGGAGGAGAGACAGCCAGGAGAGCGAGAGGAGAGACAGCCAGGGGAGATTGAGGCGAGACAGCCAAGTGAGAGAGTGAGGAGAGAAAGCCAGGAGGATGAGCGAGGAGAGACAGCCAGGAGAGAGGAGAGACAGCCAGGAGAGGAGAGACAGCCAGGTGAGAGAGCGAGGAGAGACAGCCAGGAGGATAAGCGAGGAGAGACAGCCAGGAGAGAGGAGAGACAGCCAAGAGAGACAGCCCTGGTGGGCTTAAGTGATGCCTCTTGGAATTTACTCAATGATGGGCTACGTGTCCGGGCGATGTGGCAACGGTGTGTCCTTGGTCTGAATGTTGTGCTGAAAGGGGTCCAACTTGTGAGGGACGCATTCTCTGGCGGCACCTGGTTGAAGAATGTGATGTATCTCTTCAGCTTCTTCTTTCTTCCGGGCCGCTACATCAGACCTCTGCCAGGGATCTACAAGTGGACTGGCAGCATGAGAAGGGTTGGCACATCCAGGCTCCGGCTTGTTGAGAACTTTGAGAGCTCCCAGGGACTGGTGCCAGGTGAAGGAGGGGGACAGATTCTCTAGCTGCGCATAACCTCATCCATAGAGGAACGCGTCAGGATCTCAGACCCAAGCCAGAGTTTTCAGGTTGTTTACATGACCTGCTGCAGAGTCCTCCTGGCTCTAGCGAGCTTTTATGAGTGTCTGAAGAACATGGAGCATGTGATGTCTAGGAGACCCTGAGGACATAGTAATGGGTCACCAGACCAGGATGTGACATTGCCAGCGGGTGGGTGAGCGAGTACAAAGGTCTATTTATAAAGACTCGCCCTCTCCTGTACTTGCTGATGCTGAATTCACCTGTCTGCCCATAAAGGACCCCTAATGTGTCTGGACCAGGCGGTCAGGGTGCTGGGTCTATGTTATGAGACTGTCCTGATTGCAACATTATTTGGATGCCAGAACACACCTAGAATATGACTTGGAATATATGCTCCAGGAATGGCAATAGTAGAAGTAGTACTGAGCATCTACTGAGAGAGAAAACAGAGGTGTGGCAGCGACTTCTATACAGACGGGGAAAGGGGGGGCGGGGTACACTGTGCCACCATACAGAAGGGGAGTGACTGGTACTGTTCAGATGGATGGGGGTTGTACTGTGCCATCATACAGATGGATGGAGGTTGTACTGTGCCATCATACAGATGGATGGAGGTTGTACTGTGCCATCATACAGATGGATGGAGGTTGTACTGTGCCTTCATACAGATGGATGGAGGTTGCACTGTGCCTTCATACAGATGGATGGAGGTTGCACTGTGCCATCATACAGATTGATGGAGGTTGTACTGTGCCATCATATAGATGGAGGGAGGTTGTACTGTGCCATCATACAGATGGATGGAGGTTGTACTGTGCCATCATACAGATGGATGGAGGTTGTACTGTGCCATCATACAGATGGATGGAGGTTGTACTGTGCCATCATACAGATGGATGGAGGTTGTACTGTGCCTTCATACAGATGGATGGAGGTTGTATTATATATTATTAGGATCGCTGGCTGTGTATATCTGCAGGTTGGGCTCCGTGGTGACCCCGGTCGGTGATTGAGCCGGTGCCGCCCCCTCTCGGGTGGCTGGCAGTGCCCGGAATGTGCTGGGCTCAGCCAGCTCTGTGTAGCAGGTGCCCCGATCCCGGGACTCTCCACTCCCCGGGAGCTGCCAGCCCGCGTCTGACATTCAATCCGGACAGCAAATGTTGTGAAGACGAGGAGCGGAGGGAGGAGGATCGGGGAGGAGGCCAGCCTCAGTCCGCACACACAGGAGGAGGAGGACGACGTGGAGCTGAACGCTGCGAGGACACCAGAATAGAAGCAGATAAGATGGGATAGAGAGCCGGCGGAGGTGCAGACATGGAGGTGGAGTGTGCCATGGAGGTCATGGAGAGCGATGACCCCGAGCAGGTGAGAGAGACATGGGGGGGAGTGCCCATCAATCCCTGGGGGTCAGTTCGATACCGAGAGGAGTATTGTCTCTATGTAGAAATGTCTGATATATATCTATCTGCCCCCCTCCCCCCCATATATCATTCCATCTATCTACCCCCCTCCCTATATATCATTCCATCTATCTACCACCCTCCCTATATATCATTCCATCTATCTACCCCCCCTCCCTATATATCATTCCATCTATCTACCCCCCTCCCTATATATCATTCCATCTATCTACCACCCTCCCTATATATCATTCCATCTATCTACCCCCCCTCCCTATATATCATTCCATCTATCTACCCCCCTCCCTATATATCATTCCATCTATCTACCTCCGTATGAAATGGAGATGAGGAAAGGGGGAGGTGTTGTAGTCCAAATAAAGCAAGCAGCCTGGGGTGACAACGCTGCTCCTCCATAGATATGATTCAGGGACTGAAGCCGGCCTTGCTCTGGTAGACGTTCATGTGAAAAATCTCATCAGAACATTCCGTAATGCAAACAAAAATTTGACAGAATTCTCCAAATTTTGTTTGTCATTCGAAATGACTTATAATTCCAACGTTTGATTTTGGATGGAGATTCCGGAACGAAAACCCAATTCGCTGATAGAATAAGCGTTCATTCAAGAAACTTTCCTTCCCGCTCCTTTTTATTTTCTGACTACGGTCGTAATTGATAATCGATTGGACGCCATTAGATCTGAAAATACAACAAAAATGTGCAAAATGTATTTTTTATTGCACTTCTAACTAGAGATGCACCGATACCGATACTAGTATTGGTATCAGTGTTGATACCGAGTATTTTGGCGAGTACTCGCCCCAAATGCTCCGATACTTACCTCCGATCTCCCTCTCGCCACAATTGCCGAGGGAGCATGGAGCCGGCTTCCTTTCCAATCAGGAAGCCGGGCGGTGAGTTATGATGTGCCGCACGGCTCCCTGATTGGCTAGGAACCTGGCTTCACTTGTTGGTAAGCGGCCTGGCTTCCTAACCAATCAGGAAGCCTGGTGGCAAGTCATAACTCGCGTCCTGCTTCCTGATTGGTCAGGAAGCCACACTACCTAGCAACAAGTGACACCTGCTTCCTGCCAGTTAGAAAGCCAGGAGGCGGGTCACGGTGTGACGCCCAGCTTCCTGATTGTCTAGGAAGCCGGCTTCACTTCAGCAATCAGGAAGCCGGAGGGCACCTCATGATCCGCCGCCTGACTTCCTGATCATCTGGACACACGGCAACGGTACTCAATATCGGCGAGTACTGGGAAAAAAATAGCGGTACTCGATACCGAAAAACTGGTATTGGTGCATCCCTAGTTCTAACCATGTGTACCCAGCGTGAGCATTTTGTACCCTAGGACAGGAAGTGTCTGACTGGTTGGATCTCCAGACAAGCCTTAAAGAAAATAAAACTAATGCAGCCACCGCGTGTGAAAACCAATACGCTGCAATACAAAAAAATCTTTGGTTTTCATACAATTCAAAGTGATATTAAAGTCAAAAAAAATGTAAGCTATTTTATATACAGATGAAATCACTTACAATGGACGCTGCTCCTTGATGTGTCCTGTAGGATCAGCTGGTCCCCTGAGCACTGGCCCTGGTATCCTGTTTTAGGCCTTGTTCACACCAAATGCAGACCAGATCCGGTCAGGTTTCTGCACACGCAGTGCAGTGGGTTGTGCCGCGTTTTAGACGCGTTTTAAACGCGGTTTGGATGCGTTTAGGGCCGGTTTTGGTTAAAAAAAAAAAAGTTTTAGGGCTTGTTCACACCAAGCGCGGAGCAGATCCGGACCAGAGCAGGTGCAGACCGGATCAAAACTGCGTCCAATGTATTCCTATGGTATTTTGACCTCCAGTTCACATCGCAGCGTGCGGATCCAGGCCAGATCCAGACCGGATGAAAAAAATGCGGCAAGCCCTATTTTATCTGGTCTGGAACGCATCAAAAACGCATCTAAAACTAAAAAACGCATGCAAGTGCCTGAAAGTCCATGTTAAACGTAAAAAAAAAATAATATTTTTTTTTTTTTACCAAAACCGGCCCTAAACGCATCCAAAACGCACCCACTACACTGCGTGTGCAGAAACCTGACCGGATCTGGTCTGCATTTGGTGTGAACAAGGCCTAACATGGGCTTTCAGGCACTTGCATGTGTTTTTGATGCGTTCCAGACCAGATCCAGAGCAGATAAAATAGGGCTTGCCGCATTTTTTTCATCCGGTCTGGATCTGGCCTGGATCCGCACGCTGCCATGTGAACTGGAGGTCAAAATACCATAGGAATACATTGGACGCAGTTTTGATCCGGTCTGCACCTGCTCTGCGCTTGGTGTGAACAAGGCCTCAGGGTGGCTCCTTTCCCTCGCAGGGTCCTATGGAGCCGTCCTTGTGTGTGCTAGCTGTGTGTGTCTCCACAAACACAGACACAGCAAGGCGAGACGTTCCCCTGCTCTCAGCTTCCCACTTCTCCTTCTCCAAGCTAGTAGATGGACGGCTGCTGGAGACTGCTCTGCCCTTTGTGATCTTGTACTGGACAGGAAGTTCAGGGAAGCCGAGCTGAGAGAGTTGGAGCTGTTTGGAAAAATGATGACTGTAAGTGGTTGGACAAAAATGTAAAGAAATCCTTTAGGGCTGCGGAAATTAACGATTAATGCCTTGATTAATCGTTAATATTTTTGATCGATTAAAATGCTTTTGATCATAAATTTCGATTAATCGAACACAAAAATTTTAATCATTAACAGCCCTAAAATCCTTTGCTGGGTGATGTATATTTGTTTGGATTCATTATTAAAAAAAGTGTGAGAGGTTAATACTACTTCAGCACATACACTATATTGTCAAAAGTATTGGGACGCCGGCCTTTACACGTGTAGGCGGGGTTCACTCTTGGGGTGTTGCGTGTGTGTCCCCTTTGGGATACAGTCCAACATCACACTCCTGCAGAACCCCACCTTCTCAGAGGTTGGAGGGAGAAGAACCAGTCCACACAGATAGTCTTTTCTTGGTTTTACTTGAAGGTATTAACAGAACAGTGTATACGTTCAGCCACCCCCGGTTGGGATGACGGCACAGATCTTGATAGTTGCATAGTGATACAAATTAGAGAGAGAGAAGAACAGCCCAGGTGCAGCCCAGAGTCCACGACTTACTTCGGCCAGAGGCCCACTGGCAAATATCGTCAGTACTACAGCTTCTCACTATTCTCCGGAATCCCATCCTTGTCAGTCCTAGCTCGGAGGTTTCCGCCCTCCAGGGGAAACTAGGGAATCTCAGTAGCTCTACATAGTCCTTGGCCTGGTCCTATCCTTCCCATGGACCAGCCTATGTCCAAGAATCAGTCTCTCTCCAGAGACTCTGCAGACAGTCTTCGACTTCTGCTCTCCTGTACTGCTCTCCACAACTGACTTGACTTCCTCTCTCGGGCACCCCCTATAAATCAACTCTCCTGGGACACAGAGTCTCCCCAGGCCAGAGCTGCATCTATCTCCAGGGCCACATGGGGGCATCTAGTGGCCATCGGCCGTACTGCACCTACCTACACACGCACATGAATTTTAATGGCATCCCAGTCTTAGTCTGTAGGGTTCAATATTGGGTTGGCTCCGCCCTTTGCCACTATAACAGCTTCAACTCTTCTGGGAAGGCGTCCACAAGGTTTAGGAGTGTGTCTATGGGAATGTTGGACCATTTGTTTGGTCAGGTACTGATGTTGGAGGAGAAGGCCGTTCTATCGGGTTGAGGTCAGGACTGTGCAGGCCAGTCATGTTCCTCCACCCCAACCTCCCCCATCCATCTCTTCATGGACCTTGTTTTGTGCACTCATGTTGGAACAGGAAGCGGCCATCCCCAAACTGTTCCCACAAAGTTGGGAGCATGAAATTGTCCAAAATGTCTTGGTATGCTGATGCCTTAAGAGTTCCCTTCACTGGAACTAAGGGGCCAAGCCCAAACCCTGAAAAACAACCCCACACCATAATCCCCCCTCCACCAAACTTTACACTTGGCACAATGCAGTCAGGCAAGTACCGTTCTCCTGGCAACCGCCAAACCCAGACACGTCCATCGGATTGCTAGACAGAGAAGTGTGATTGGTCACTCCAGAGAACACGTCTCCACTTCTCTAGAGTCCAGTGGCGGCGTGCTTTACACCACTGCATCCGACGCTTTGCATTGCACTTGGTGATGTAAGGCTTGGATGCAGCTGCTCGGCCATGGAAACCCATTCCATGAAGCTCTCTACGCACTGTTGTTGTGCCAATCTGAAGGCCACATGAAGTTTGGAGGTCTGTAGCTATTGACTCTGCAGACAGTTGGCGACTTCTGTGCACTGTGCGCTTCAGCATACGCTGACCCCGCTCTGTCATTTTTCGTGGCTGAGTTGCTGTTGTTCCCAGTTGCTTCCACTTTGTTATAATATCACTAACAGATGACCGCAGAGTATTTAGTAGCAAGGAAATGTCACGGAACACCTGAATCCAATGATTTGGAGGGGGAGGGGCCCAATACTTTTGGCAATATAGTGTATCTTGCTTTTGTCACCATCCACCTCTCCTGTCTCTGTCCTCCCGGAGCTGCTGATAAGTAACGCGTTCCGAGTATCTAATCTGCTCCCGGACAGACTTTTGTTTTTCTCTAAATTGAATGCATGGTGGGCACAATGTTTCTCCTCAGTTTATAGATAAATATGTTCCTTTTATTGGACAGAAAGCGTCACAGACATCACATCTTTCTGCCTTGAGGAAGGGACCCTGCGCGGCCCCGAAACATCGGTTTATTTGGATGTCTGTGACGCTTTCTGTCCAATAAAAGGGACATATTTATCTATACTACTGAGTGCTGGTGATTTCCTGACTTTCCTGTGTTTGCACGGCGCCATCCGTGGTAATTCATCACTGCGAGCACCACTTTTTTCTTATCTGGCTGGGACTGCTGTGGGCAGTGCGGAGCGTCTCTCCATCGACTTCCATCTCCTCAGTCTATGTTGCAGATTCTGAGGGGTTGGGGATGTGAGCTCATGTAGGGTATGACCCTCACCTTTTCATCCTCCCGCACTTGTCCTTACCATTCCACAGAAGGGGCAGACGGTGATGTGCGTGCGGTTGGCCCACATTGAGCAGAGCGAGCGGATGAGTGATCTGAGGATTAATGTGGATTGCAGGCTGGGAGAGCGAATTATTTCTATGTGATGATGGATGAACACAATCCGATGGGGGATTTTGCTGTTTTTACTGGTAGCGCCTTTTTATTTTATTGCCTTTTATACTATTTTATTTATAGTGCCTTTTCTGCATATTTTACTCCTCTGTAGTCATGTGAAATAAAATAACAATAAGGCAAAATGTATTTTTCTTTGTTTGCTTTTTCCCTTTACTACTGCCCTTTGGGGGTCTGTCCTCGGTGGCTCTACTACTTCGTATTAAAGCTGAGCTCTGATAGCTGAATGACTGAGAAAACACCCTTGCAGTAGGGAGTAGGACCCCCTCCCTCCCCCATTTACTGCAAAGGTTAAAGGCTCTTTAAGTCTTAGGCCCCATTTCCGCGCGATATCAAGTCAATGGAGCTGTGCTCGTCGCTGTCGCGCGCCGCTACTGCAGGACCCTTTTTTGGCGCGGACGTCGCGCGATTACACTCGGTCCACTGCAATCATTTGCGCGGAAAACCACGTGATATCACACAAAATGACAAACGCGCGATTTGCAATCCTCTCAGTGTGAATGGGGCATAATGTTAAAGCATCACACTGTAATAACCTTTCACTCACCCTGGCATGCGTCCTCCATGCTGTGTGAACGGTCCCCCACAGCCTCTTCTCTGGCAATCGCACGCTGACATCACCAAGTACAATGCAGGACCAATATATCTTCCTTATGCAGGGCCGGTGCTGTCACTAGGCAAACTAGGGCGCACTGATGCCTAGGGTGCAGCCTTGACCACTCACCCCCTGTCTATTTCAAAATTGCAAAAGCTAATGGCAGGCTGACTATTGAACCCACCCACTGAGAACCCACCCAAGTCCGCTCCGCTGTGCTCCGTATGTAGTGTTTTAATAGCCAGTCTGCTATTGGCTATTTAAAATAAAATAGCCAATAGCAGACTGGCTATTGCTCATAGCTGCCTACGTTCACCTGTCGCCTGCGGAAGCTAGCCAGCAGGAGAATGGAGTGGCGCCGGAGGGTGTCTGGGGGGGGGCTAGCTGGTCTTGCCTAGGGTGCAAAATAGTCTAGCACCGGCCCTGTCCTCATGCATGCGTGACACTTCACTGAAAGCATGTGCTGTATTAAAAAAACAAAGTATGGCTTTTGACATTCAAAGCATTGAAAACCAGAAAAGATCAACATTTTTCTGTGTCATCATTTGTAAATGTTAAAAGATGGAGAGCGCGTTCACACCAGCAAGTCGTGCTGAACGCTGACAGGCACAGCGCTGATGTGCGGAATTATTCTTGTTAGAAATCGTTATATTTCATTAAGTTCTATCGCCCACAACAAATGGAAAGAAGGCAAATTGCCCTGTCTGTGCGTTTGGATGCCGACAGACATCTCCCTGGTATAGATTCTGGTCTGTTCCTGCCACAGGCGCTGACAAGTCAGACTGGGGGACGGATAATCTTATATCCTTCAGGTGGGAACTCAGATCCCTCTGCTGAGGATCCAGAGAGATGAAAGAGGATGGCGGTTGACTGAACTGAACCCCTAATAAAGATATCAGTTGGGTAGTTTGTTTTCAATTAGCAAGATATAAGGGTCCTTGATGTCACCAGGGGGCCACACATAACATTCATTATATGTGCTGGTACATTGAATAGCCATAGACTGCTAGGATTAAGGTCCTTTGGGGGACTGAAACATGTTAGCAACCTTTGTAGCTGCTTTTATGCCTTTTCAATAAAGAGACGTCATTCAAAGGATTCCTATGAGTGACAGCTCTGTCACACTTCATGTCATAGACTGGAGACTTGCTAGAGGTAACAGACTATGGACATGGTACAGGTATGGTTGGAGATTCGATGCATTCTGCAAGAGACAGAGACAGGGAATGTGTTACATGAGACGATTAGAGATCACTGCAATTACAGCCCATTTACAAAATCAATACCACCGCTATTGACTACTGCTGTCTAATGGTTGCGGGAGGAGCACCAAAGGACTGCATGGGAAGCACCAGAGGATCTCATGAGGAGCACCAAAGGTCCACATTGGGGAGCTCCAAAACTCTACATGGGGAACACAAAAGGTCCACATGGGAAGCACCAAATGGCCATACGAGGAGCACCAAAGGGCCACATGGGGCGCTCCAGAGGTCCTCATGAGAAACACCAAAGGAACACATGGGGAGCTCCAGAGTTCCTCATGGGGAACACCAAAGGCCTGCATGGGGAACACCAAAAAAAACAAATGGGAAACACCAAAGCTCCACATGGGGAGCTCCGGAGTTTCGCAAGGGGAACACCAAAGCTCCACATGAGAAGCACCAAAAAAAACATATGGGAAACACCAAAGGGCCACATGGGGAGCTCCGGAGTTTCGCAAGGGGAACACCAAAGCTCCACATGAGAAGCACCAAAAAAAACATATGGGAAACACCAAAGGGCCACATGGGGAGCTCCGGAGTTTCGCAAGGGGAACACCAAAGCTCCACATGGGGAACACCAAAGCTCCACATGGGGAACACCAAAGAGCCACATGGGACATACCAAAGGGACACATGGCATGCACTAGACTAGAGGGTCACATGCAGCCACCAGGCAGTTAAAGAGCAAGTCAGGGGAGCCTGGAGTTTGCTGGCATAATACTCATTCTCAGTCAGTGACCAAGAATTTTCAGGAGGTCATCAATAGGAGGCTATGTCATTTTCTCTTGACAGGTTTTTAAGTGCACGTAACTTATTTTTATGTGTATTTGAATGCCCTGCTAGTTCTTTTTTCTTTTTGCTGCCTGTGTCCCATGTGAATGGGTGATTTTTCCTTTACTTCCTGTCCCAGAGGCGTGACAGGAAGTGAGAGGAGGTCTTTACAATGTGAGATAAATTCCTCTCTTAGTTGTCACCAGAACAGGTGTCCCCATTGGAACATTCAGACTTACCTCTTGTTCTGGTGACAACTCAATGAAATGTATTGTCTCTACATATGTACAATGTGTCTGAGGAGCGGCCATTCTCAGGGGTATCTAGAATTATTTGCAGAGACGTTTGGTGCTGAGTTGTTGTCTCTCGGTCTGTCACATAGATTACCCTGTATAGTGTGCACTGCATTCCCTGTCCTGACATTTGTGTCTTTGTTGTAGGAGGAAGTCTTCCCCGCTCTGGAGTTTCCTATTTTTACCACCCCAGGTAATATTAGAAGCAATCAATAGTCAATCTGTGTCCTGCACATAAATGTAAATGTATTTATTTAAAGCTGACCTCCGGCCTTCCCTTCTGTCTTGCACAGCTGTACCGGCTCCTCTCCTGGACTGGAATGTCTTCCTCTGATTTCCCTGCACAGTGTGAGCTTCTCACAATGTGTTTAGATTACAATGTGCACTTGCTGCAGCAAGTCAGTTAGAGCCCGCCTCCATTCCTGGCTGTCCTTGGCCTGGCCCTTCACTTATTGGATTACAGTTCTTTCAATCCCTGAGCCTCAGCATCACACGTGGGCATTACCTCGGGTGGTTTGCATGCAAATAAAGTCTGCTTAGGAAAGCCCACCCCTCCTGACACATGGGCATTCTGATATTTGCATAACTCCTCCCTAGAGACAGCCCACTGCTTGCATCAGCACTGAGGGCTCTTTAATTAGCACTGAGGCAGGGTGCTTTTATGTTATCAGGAAGCTATGGACGGCTCCTCCCACCAGCCATGATCTGAAGCAGAGAGACCTACATACATCACTGGGTCTAATATAAGACCAAAATGTTTTATTTAAAGGAGTTGGGTAGTATGTTCTATGTATAGTTTTGCAAATCTTAAACCATAAGGGATCCATATTTGTACATAAGCAGTCTTTGCTTACTACTTAGTAGTGCTGCACAATGACTGTACTTATAGTGTGCCTCCAGCCAGAGTGGGGGAGGGTTGGAACCCCTGTCAGTTTTTTACAGGGCTCACTTACTAACACTGGAACTTTTTAGCATGACACAGACAGCCCAATTGCAGATTTTCCCTCACTTCCTGTCTGGCCCATCAAGTCAACAGGAAGTGAGGGAAAGTCTCCCGCACAGATGGCCGTGAACAGTTGACAATGGGTTCCAACCCTTCCCTGCTCCATCCAAAACTTATAAGAGGTTTATGCTTTAAAGGGACTCCTATCACAAAGCAAAACAAGACATTCCATGACTTGTACCCCATGCTAGTTCCAGGGCAATGACTCAGTGGCTAGATTGTGCTTGCTGGGCCAAGAACTTGTTGGAACTTCTTGCCCAGCCTTACAGAGAAACACAAGCACACAGTCTGATATGCATGCTGCACATGGCTTGGCTCTAACAGGAAGGAAGCCACAGCTTTATTCTCTACCTAATTTAATACAACAGAATCTACCATAGATATATAACAGAACTTATAAACACTGCCATCTAGTGACCGAAATTGTATACTGCAGGAGTTGATGCAATAGATAACAATAATGTGTATTCTAACAGAACTACTATGCAGCACATGAGCCAAGGAATGGATGCTTCCATCAGGGCCTTCTCATACACATGCTTGGCTTTGTTCTTTCCAGTAAAAAGCAGTCTGTATGCTGCCGTTATTGAGGTGACCCCCCCTATTGACTGTAGTTCAAAGGGGGACCAATTTCCCACCATGCCGGCAGCAGGTCCAGAAGTACAGGAAGGTCAGAGGAACCAAAAACATCCAGACACGGGCTGATATCATGAATCGATTCATCTTGTATAATATGTGATCTGTCCCTGTAGATCTTGGGGAGGATGCCGGGGTCTACATGAAGTTAATGATGAAGAGTCCCTGCTATGACGCCATCCCTACGAGCTGCAAGCTGGTCGTGTTTGACACCTCTCTACAGGTCAGTACCGCTGGCAATTTTGTAAGCGATCTCTGGGACGTTCTAAGCTTGCTTCATATGGAGGTTCATCATTACATACTCCAAAGATTGCTAGAGGATCGTTATAGAAAGGAGGACATTCGTTTACTGATACTCTACAACAGCCATTGTCAACCAGGGGTCCGTGGACCTCTAGGGTTCCTCCAGAGGTTGTTATAAGAAGTTCCTTGGGCAATGGTGGATTTACTTCCCACAGCAGGGTACCTGCAGAGTTCCGGGGCCAACTTCACTAGGCAGAGCCAGTGGCATTGCACCAGTAATCCTTTTAATTTTCTGTAAGGGTGACGTGCTTCTTATTGACCATTATTGTAAGGCGGCTCTTGTCCACCGGCCACTGATGTAAAGGGTATTTCCACTTTTGCAGAAAAAATAGTGCTTGCAGCATTTTTTCTGACCGGACCGCAGGCATTTATGTGCCTTTGCGTTCCCGTGCGGCCGATCGCATTGCGGCCGGAGGGTGTGGCTACGGTGCCCTTGAGGCCAATGCACCGCCACGCTCCATCCCACCCCACAACAAAGTGAGCCGGCCGCAATACGATCCAGTGCGTTGCGGACAGAATCGGGCCGGAACGCACTGTCTGGTGTGAACAGGCCATTATCCAGGTACCACAATGCCTTGTGTCACATGACACATGCAGCTGGGCCCCAGGCTGTTGGCAAGGTTGGCAAAGTAGAGAGGTGGGCGGGGATGTGGGCACAGTGGGCGGGACATTGGGGAAGAGGGTTATAGCTGTGAGGGAGTAATGAAAAAAAACAGTTTACTAGTTCTTGGGCACAGGTGACTACAATGGGAGATATTAAGAAGGCAGAATGGCGTGTGGACACAGACGTACAGGAAATGTATATGGATAGGGTTCTTGTTGGATGTGGAAATGTTGCTGTGCACGCTCCATGGTGCACCTTGTAGGAGCAGGAGACATAAAAGCAACTAAACATTTATTTCTGGCCTCCAGCGTAGGAGAGAATGTTTATTTGTCCGGTGTGTTCCGTCTTAGTACATTCTGCTTCTTGGTGTTCATCCAATCGTTCTGTCTCTCCGCACACAGATAAAGAAAGCCTTCCTGGCATTAGTGGCTAATGGGGTGCGAGCGGCTCCTCTCTGGGACAGCAAACAGCACTGCTTTGTGGGTAAGTCTCCGCAGACACCGCTGGGCCTCCCGTATAATGGGGTTGGAACAATTGTACACAATATCCTTTTCTTGTAACTTGTGTAGTGCTGGGGTAATCAAACTCCGGCCCTCCAGCTGTGGGACTACAAATCCCATGAGGCATTGCCAGACTGCCGGCCACAGGCATGACTCTCAGAGGGCCCCTGGAGGGCCGGAGTTTGCCCAACCCTGCTATATTGTGTATCTATTTGTATTGGGGGGTTTTATATGCCAAGCAGCTAGCTGTCTGTTCAGCCATCATTTCATTGATCAATTGTAACTCTGGGGACGTCTGGCTCTTTCAACCAGATAAACAATACATGGCGCGGTGCCTAGCAGAGGTGTGCACAGGACCCTTAAAGGAGAACTATGGGGTCAGTGTTTTTCCCCATAGTTCTCCTTAGGGTAACGGGAGGACACAAACTAGCGTCCTTCCGTTACCCTAAGCTCAGTATATCACAAGCTACAGCTCCCGGTATACTGAGACGCCGCAGCCAGAGCGGATCCCGACACGATGTCGAGATCCGCCCAGCTGCGTGAGTGACACCTGGCTCTGCCTATCTAGACGGGCGGATCGGAGCGGGGAGGGGGGAATCCAGCCCCTCCCCCTGTCACGGCAGAGAGCCGTGACAGGATCGAGAGGTGAGCGAACGCCGGTATGTGTTCGCTCACCTCCCGATCTACTGAGCCGACCTGTGACAATGAGACTGGCACAGGTCGGCTAGAACTATGAGGTGAGTGGAAATCACTCACCTCATAGTTCTGCTTTAATGGGGACCTCTGTTTATTAGACACACGTGACGTGCTGTCACTGTGCAGCTATAGCAGCTCACTCTATGGCTTCAGGAAGAGAGAAGTGCAGGTGTTCTGTCGAGGTGGCCAAATCGTCGAGCTCTCCAACTCATGACGTCACATCCGCTGTAGATTTCAACGAGATGCCGCTAGTGCACGTGCGCCAGCCTTCACAGTTTTTGCAATCCTCGTCGGCTTCTGCACTTGCTGTAGGTACACCTGCGCGGCTTCCAAATTGTAATTGAGTTCTCCAACTCCCGCCGGTGCTTTTGGCATCGGGTGCACGAGGCAGACGCACTCCTGCTGATTATACAGCTTGATACTTCTCTTGGGTGCACTAACGGGAGTTGGAGGTCCCGACGAGTTGGAGAATTTTATAGAACACAGGCACAGAGCTGCCTGCTCTCTCTGGTAAAGATCCATCCAGGAACCTGCCAGCTGCCTCCTCCCCTCGGCTCAGCTGGGCATAAGGAGGAGGGAGGGAGAAGGTAGCTTCTCCCAGCTACTGGTAAGTGTCTATACAGATGCTTCTCAGAGGGAGTCAGCCTGATGTGTAACCTGGGCTACTCTACTTGAATGTCCCCCTGACCCTGAAATTAATTTATATCTGGGCTATTGCAATTGGTGTGGTAATTGGGCTAGTGTAATTGGACCTGCGCAGAGTCAGCCCGATGTACAGATCTGCTCTTGGTCAGACCAGGTCCCCATAATGAGGCTGAGGGGGTCGCCTCAGGTGGCATCTGATTGGGATGGGGGGGGGGGGGGGGGCAAGGTGTCAGTCACAGCATCCCCATGGGCAGGATGCTCTGTCCAGTGTTGGTGGCAGGAGGGTGCGGCCACAGTGCCCCCCTGGGAGGGATGTTCTATCCAGCTCTATCTAGCCAGCTCACTGACGCCAGGGAGCTGAGCAAGATGCTCCGGGTGGCGTCCCACTGAGCTCCTGGAAACCAGTGATGTCAGTGAGCTGGGCGGGACGCCCAAACCACACAACGGCCTTGGGCAGCTGATGGCGTAGGGCCCTGGCCTCGATGTGGTCCACATACTTGATTTGTCAAATTAAGCTCTGATGAAGGGGGTGTGGTTTGGATCCCTGAAACGCGTTCGATACTCTACTTGAATGTGACGCTTCAATCCCCCCATCCTTCTGGTAAGCGCCTGTGCAGATGCTCATCAGAGGTAGTGAGTCATCCCGATGTGTAGATATGCTTTTGGTCAGACCCGTCGAAGGTCTGCGGCTATTAATTGCCCTACAATGTATTGTAGGGGAAGTAAATCTCCCCCGTAGGGACACAGACAGTGATAAAAACTTGGCGAAAGGTCTAACCCTTCTCTACTCTATCCAAAAATAAAATATGTCGCCCTTACATACACTTTAAAATAAAGAATTTGGATATATTAAAGGATCATTCCATCCAAATTGATAATTTAGCTGTAGATGCAGCCTTGTGGGCGGGGGCGGTCCCTGGCTTCTCATACTATATTAGACATGTGCGATTCGTTCCGTTCCTAATCAAAATTCGTACACATTTTCCAAAATTCGGACATCCAGGCACATCCGAGTACGTCCGAATCCATCTCGCGGGCCACGGGCCGGTACATCTGCCGCCCTGCCGGAATCTGCCGCTCGAGGCAAACGCCTTGTTTGCCTCGCGGCAGATACGCCCCTGGTTGTCGCAATGAATATTCGTAAACTCATCCGAAACTAAAGAGAATTCATCTTTCGCACGAATCCGAATCCCAAATTCCAAAATAACGAAATATCCGAACCGAACCAAATTTTTCTGCAGCTTACATGTCTATACTGTATATCTTGGATGCTGTGCTGCCATGCCATAATTCCCGATTCTGTTCCTGTCCACCTGAGAAATTTGGGGGTTTCCCCCCTCCAATCCACCACCACCACCTTTGTGTGTCCCAGCTCCTCCTCTTACATTCTCCATAAGGCCTCATTCACACAAGAAAAGGGCGGCATGTACAGCTCCGTGACGAGTGCACGACCGTATCGGGCAGCTCCCGGGAAGGACAGGTGCTGTGTGTGATTAGTGGGCAGCCCCTGTCCTTGGACTACGCGGCCGTACGCCGCCCTACGCTCACCTGCCCTGCACATCCGTGCGGGTGTCCGTACTCGTACGCTGACGGGATGGATCATGTCTGCATCCGAGCCGGGACACACGCACCCTTACGGACCTGCGCTTGGGGTGAGCGTATGGCGGCGTACTCCCATAGAGAAGGACGGGGGCTGCGTGCGAATCACACGCAGCACCTGTCCTTCCCGGGAGCTCCCTGATACGGCCGTGCATGCAGCACGGAGTTGTACGTGCCGGCCGTTTCTCGTGTGAACGAGGCCTAATTTAAAATAGTTCAAAAATAAACCCAACAGGGATGGTGGGAGCCCCTCGTAATAGGAACTGCAGGCCCACAGAGACTGCACCGAGTCCCTGAGAGACCTGTCAGGGGAACTCTCCAATGTCAGTTTGGAATGGAGTGACCCTTTAATGCCCCAAAAAACAAGGAAGCCGAAACTCAGTGCCAATGGCAGCTCATTTGGGGTTTTCCCAGGGGCTTCGCATTGAAATAACTGACGGGAAGGAGGTGGGATTTGTGGGATGATGAATTCACATAGCTGAGGATGGAGTTGCAGCTCTGGGATGTACAAGCAGCTGTGTCACGGAGTCCAGCAATATGAGCGGGGTCACATACGTGAGCAGAACAAGCTGTACAACTGATCGGGGGAGGGGGGGGGGGGGGG